CGAAATTCTCCCTTCAAGATAAAGCTCAAATACTCCTTCTAAAACTGGGACCAACTATGGCTTGAGGGCCAAATATGGCCAGTGACCTAAGAATGGTTTTCACATTTTTAAACATAATAAAACACTATTTTAAAATGTGAAAACTATTCTTAGCTCACTGGCTATATACAAAAGCAGAAACCAACTGCTTGCCTCTAGTTATATCACATCTTTCTTGACTCCCCTCAACTACTAATGCCCTCCATTTATAACTGCCTAGCATTTAATTTGTAACTAGTTATATGTATATGTTGTGTCTCCTAATAGAATGGAAGGTCCTTGACTGGATTATCAGAAATATTTAGCCTGAACATAGTAACTGCTGGCCAGCAAGTTGAATTTAGAAATACATTTATAAAATGTGTACTAACCATTAAGTATGCACACATGTTGATAATAAAAGCAAACTATTTTATTTCAATTAGTACTAGCATAACTATATATATTATATATATATATATCTATATATATATACATACACACACACATACACACACACACACATATATACACATAAACATACATACATATAAATATACACACACACACATATTTAAACTAGGCAAGGAAGAAGAGCAAGAATAGGGTGGGATGAACTGTTCTTAATTTTAGTAAGTATTAAATAGCTTGAGGGATGGAAGGATGTCTTTCTTCTGTTGGCAACCTGGATTCTAGAAAACTACTCCACCTATAGGATGGTGAGGGCACAGGAGAATGGGTCATTAACCTGAGAACCCAGGGAAGTGAACAGAGAAGGTTATCTGAACCAGCCTCATGAATTAAACAAAATACTGATGTGTTACCTCCTTTGTACCCATGAACTGCATGTTAAACCTGCAGTAAAGACTAGAAATAGGAACTTGGTGGGACATACAACATGGATCCACAGACTCTAAATAGTAAAGTAGTTGAAATTTTTGAAGATCCTTGCAAAAGACAGCACAAGAAAGGTAGGGCCTAACAACTGGTCATGTGGCCATTTCCATAAAGAAATGGAAGCTCAGATGCCAGGCGAACAAAAGAAAGACATCAGGCTTCCCTTAATGGACAGAACTAGTTGTAATTATCAGCTGCTGAGTTCACTTCAGGAAAACCAATGTGAAAAAAAGTATAACAGATCAAGGACAAGTTACAGGACCTGGTGATGGAAGTGACTGCCTGGTAGTAGGTCATCCTGGAGCCTAGAACCTGAGCAATCCTTAGAGGACAGATAAGGGAAGGTCTTTCTTGCTCGGGGAATCAGAAGTGAAGGCAGGTCTTCGAATGGGCCAAAAGCCATTGAGATTCAAGATAAAAGAAACTCTGCCTTGTAGGGTAGTTTGAAGTCTAGGGGAAGAATTCACAGGACCACAGATTTTGAGCTCAGGGGACATTTAGCCCAACCTTTTCATTTTACAATGAGGAAACTAGGGCCCACAGGGGCTGACTCATCCAAGATCACCCACATACTAACTAAGGGGCAGAGCTAAGATTCAAACCCAGATCATCTTACCACAGAGCCAGTGTTTTTTCTACCACACCATCCTGCAACTCTCTTTTCTTGGCAGGTGGGTGTCAGGGGAAGGTACAACAAGCCAAGAATGCCATATCAGAAGGCAGTGCTGAGAAACAGGTTTTAATAGACCTGAGAAACCTAGTAGCCTTGAAAAACTGAAACCTGAGAACTGAGACATGACAAATTCAAATGGTTCTGGGCTGGGAGACTCTAGAGACAAGACATGCAAAGGAGTAGGCGAGTATGAGAGTTAGTGTTCAAGAAATAGCAGAACAGCTATAAAAGAAAAGATTCGTTCCCTTTACATTTGCATAAAAAGTCTGGGATAGCTTTTAAAACATCTAAAACTTTTAAACTTTTCCCTTTATTATTTTAGATTCTTTTAGGATTCATGAGGTGATCAACAGTAAATCGTTAAAGATCAATAATGAAAGGCTATGGGCTGATTTAAAAAACAGTACAGTATCAATAAGCTCTAAATGGATAATTAATCTACATGGAAAAGGTCATAGGATAAAACAAACTAGAAAACAAGAGGAGAACTACAATTTGGGGAGAATACATAACCAAAACGGGACAGAAGATCTCAAAAAACAAAACAGACACAAACTCAAAAGCTTTTGCCCAAATAAAATATAATTAGAATAAGAAAAAACTATTGAATGAGGGAGAATACTTTGTAAAAAAGATCTTATAAAACCTAAAATTCAAGGTGTTTTATAGGAAATGATAGAAAAATAGGACCAAAAGTCATTCCCCAATTGATAAATCAAAGGATATTAAGTTTTCAAAAAGACATGCAAATGACCAATAATTATAATTTTTTAATGCTCCAAATTGTTTTTAAAAAAACTCATATCTTTCACCTTTCTCCTGAATTGTCAAAGGTCATAGAACTGAAAATCAGTGTTGCCAAAGCTATGGGAAGGCAGGTACATTAACACACTACTGGCAGAGTTATGAATTGGATCAAGCGTTCTGGATAACAATTTTAAATTGTGAGAGAAAAAGAGACTAAATTATTCCTATCCTTTGACCCAGAGATCCCATTAAATGGAACAGATTCCAAGGAGGTCAAAGATTTAAAGGTCCTACATTTACTAAAGTATTTATAGCACTCTTTATGGTAGCAAAAACTAAAAACAAAGTGAGCACCTATTAACAAGAGAATGGCTAAACAGCTCGTGGTATATAAATATAATAGAATATTACTGTAGTATAAAAAACAACAGTCTTGAGGAATTCAGAGAAACAGAGAAAGGCTGGTATGAACTAATACAGAATGAACAATGCAGAACTATAAGATTAATACATGGAATGAATGTAATAATCATTCAAATCAATAAACAATCAAAAAGGCAACTAACCCAGATTATTTGCTATCACTAACTTTGGTCCCTAAGATGAATAATAAAACATACCACCATCCTCTCAGTATCTTGTCAGGGAACTACGGTATGCATTATTCTATATGCTGTCTGTCAGCTGCTATTACTGTTAGTCAGTTTTGCTTACCTTAATACTTTCTCAAATGGTTCTTTGTCACAAAGGATTGTATTGGGAGGGGAAGGATAGATGATGAAATGATTACGTTGGCAAAATACCGGGGGGAAGGGGAGGAACAGTAGATCAAGAGAAGTAAAAACTGGCATCCAACCTAGCAGACCAAACTGCATGGCAAAGAACTTTGGTGGGTAAAGGACTAGAAGGAGAAACAGTCAGCTAAATTTTGTGCTGGCTGACAGAAGAAAAGCAAGACCATTGAGTCTATAACATTACAGTCAGCATCTAAAGAATTGTAAATAATAGAACACTTATTAATTACATTTACTAATCACACAATAGATACACAGCCCTGGCTTTGTGTTCCTAAAGTTGTCTATTCTTGATAATGACTAAATCCTTAAGGATTCTGTGGAGAGAGTACGGTATGCTGGAAGATCACTGAACTTGGAGCCAGGAGACCTGGGGGGGGAAGAAAGGGGGAACGATAGTCTTCTGCCACTTACTTGTATGACCACAGGCAACTCAATCTACCTCTCTCAAATTGAGTTTCTTCTCCTATAAACTGTGGAAAATAGCACCTGTTCTGCTGACTGTACAGGGTTGTCAAAAGCCTCAAATAAGATGACAGTCCCTTGTTAACTGTAAGATACTTAAAATTTTTTGTTTTTACATTACCTTTATTTACCAATATTTTACTTCCCTCTTCACCTCTCAGACAGCCATGCCTTATAACAAAGAATTTTTAAGAAGAAAAAAAACCCCTACATTTCAGCAAAACCAAACAACATATCACTCAAGTATGACATTATATGCAGTGTCCCACACCTCCACAGGCCCCAACCTCCAAAAAGAGTAGAGGAGGTGCATTGTTGTATTTCTTCTTTGAGGTTAAGACTGAAGATTATAATTTCACTGGATTCAGTTTTAATTTTCCATTTACACTGTTGCAGTCATGATATCTAGTTTTCCTTGTTCTACTTACTTTACTTTAGTATAAGTTCATAAAAATCTTCTCATTTTTTGCATGCTTCATAATCATTGTTTCTTACTGCACAGTACTACTATATTACATTCACGTACTATAATTTGGTTTCCAAATAACGGACATTTATTCTATTTCCACATCGTGGCTACTATAGAAAGTATTGCTGTGAACAAAGGTACACGGTACTTTTTTTTTTAATCACTGATTCTATATGGATATATGCCTAACAAAGGGATCTCTTAGTTATTTTACAAATACTTTCCAAAATGGCTGGCCCAATTTATAGCTCAACCAACAGCATATCAGGGTACTTGTTTTTCCACAATCGCTATAAAAATGATACCTTTTGTCATCTTTTACAATTTGCTGAGCATGAGGTGAAACCACAGAATGGTTTTGACTTGCATTTCTTTTATTACCAGTGATTTAGAAAAGTCTTTCCTTGGTTTCTTCACACTGCAATTCTTTTAAGAACTTTTTGTTGATATCCTTTGACCTTTTACCCAATGGGGAATGGCTTTTGTAGTTATATATTTATGAAACACTTATACAACTCTAAGTTATCTATAAAAAGTTAAAAATAAACTACTATTACATATGGCAAACACATCTTTAAAGTGTAAAATTATGTCCCACTTATGATACTCTTGAAAAAACTAATAAACTCAATTTTGTTGTCATAATAGGAGGTAGCATGGCCTAAAAAATCAAGTGATAGACTTGGAATTTGAAAGGTTTGGGTTTAAATCCATTCTAAGACACTTACTAGCTGTGTGACCCTGTGCAAGTCATCTAGCCTCTCTCAGCCTCAGTTTCATCATCTGCAAAATGGGGACAATAACAGTATCTAAATCACAAAGTTATTGTGAGGATTAAATGAGAAAATATACTCTGGAAACCTTAATACACAAGATAAATGTTAGCTATCATTATTATTATATTAAAGCATAATATCATTCTGATAATGAAACATACCTTTCCATCATTGTCAAAAGAATCGAAGAAAATTCCAACACCATTCCAATTATCAGCTGATCCAAACACAGGACCTTCCAAGCCTTGATTTTCAGTATACCAAATTGCCTGTTAATATAGTACAGCAAAATTTAGGATAGTAGAAGTATATACTTACGTACATTGTATAAGTCAAACAAAATTTCATACCAGGCCATCGGCTCCAATTCGTCCTCTTCCAGCGACTCGAAATGTCACCTCAACCTCCCAGTTTTCAAATGAAGCTTTTGTCTTTGTCCAGACCGATCCTTTCTGGCTTTTCAAAGATGGAGCTATTCGAATCTGGTCTGAACTAGGTATTGCATCTGAAAAAAAATATTTCAATAACATTCAAATAAATACTACAATACATAGACCCTTCTAATTTTAAGAAGTGTTTCAAGATGCACCCTAAGCATGGGAAGAAGCCGGTAACTCATTAACAAATGGAATAATCCAGTTAAAAAAATACTCTATATTAAGAACAAACTTTCAATTTCAGGCACTTCAAAATTTAATACTTTTGAACAACGAAATCACATATTTGCAATTCAATTAAACTCAATCCAACAAATATTTATTAAGTATCTACTCTATGCAAAGCACTAGTCTAGGTGTTAAAAAAAATTAAAAATGATCCCTGCCCTCAAACAGCTTGCATTCATTTTAATGAAGGGGAGAGTTTAATGAAGGTAGGATCAGAGACACAACATGTACACAGGGTAAGTATATTTATGAAAATTTAAGGAGGGAATGAATATTAACAACTATACTAGGTTCAGGAGAGCCTCTATCCTTTCCCTCCAAGAGATGGAACATGAGCTGAATCTTAAAGGAAGCTAAGAATTTTAAGAAGGGAAGCTCAGGAAAGAGAGCATTCTAGGGATACAGGATAGTTAGAAAACGTGGGAAGCCACAGAGGCAGGAATTCAGGACACAGCAAGTAAGCTAGTATGTAGAATATATAAAGTCATTCAAGTAAGTCAACAAATATATATTAAGTGCCTACTATGTACCAGGCAAGGTTTTAAGTGCTTGCTATTTAAAGAAAAGCAAAATCAAGGTCCTCCCCATCAAAGAGCTGACTTTCTCATGGAGGAGACAACATGTAAATAACCATATATAGGATATACACCAAGGAGATGGAAGGTAATCTCAGGAGAAAGATACTAGCAGGGAGAAGGACCTAGAAAGGCTTCCTGCCAAAGGTTAGTCTAACTGAGTCCTGAAGGAAGCCAGGGAAGCCAGGAGGCAGAGATGAGGAGAAAGTGCATTCCAGACATGGAGGGGCAGTCAAAGAAAAGGTACAGAGTCAGAAGACAGAGCAGCATGCTCAAAGGACAACACAAAGACCAGTGTCATTGAATCATACAACATGTGGAGTGGAATAAAATGTAAGACTGGAAAGACAGGAAGGGTCCAGTGTGTGAATGGTTTTAAATGATAAACAGATCATTTTATACTTGATCTAAAGATAACTGAGAGTGATTGGAGTTTACTGAATAGGGGAGTGACATGGTCAGACAAAAAAAAACTTGGGCAGCTAAATGGAGACTGGCGTGGAGTGCAGAGAGAGAGGCTCAAGGTAAGGAGCTCAACCAGAAGGCTACTGCAACAGTCTAGATATAAGGTGATGACAGCCTGCCTCAAGGCAGTGACTGTGCATGGACAAAGGGAATTATAAAAAAGATGTTATAAAGGTAGAAATAACAAAACTTGGTAACAGACCGGATATGTGAATAACATGAAACAAGCCTAGAAAGACAGGCTAGGACTAGACCATGAGGGACAGTAAATGGCCAACTATTATATTTCATCCTAGAGGTAACAGGGGGCTACTGAAAGTTCTTGAGCAGGGGAATAACATGGTCAGATTTGTGCTTGAAGACTTATTAAAGAAAGCTACAGTTATATATTTAAAATTCTTAATGAGAAACAATAAAGGATTATGACTGAAAAAGAAAATGTTGCAGTTACGTCCTTTGAATACTACTTTTATTTAATAATAGCCTTTGAAAATCTCAAAAGAACTTTGTAGAATACTCCCATGAGAAGGAAAGGAGCATTATTCTTTTTCCCAAGTTCAAATAGGGAAGTATTGTGCTGTATGGAAAAGAACACTGGGCTGGAAGTCAAGACTAGTACTGTTTATGTGACCTTGAACAAGTCATAACCTCTCTGAATCTGTTTCCTTATCTCTAACATTCATATCACATTAGGTGGTCTCTAAGGTTCCTTCTGGCACTAAATCCCATGATTTGATCTATACGAACATATACAATAGTCCAAGCCCAAAATTATTATTACCATGAGGTAAACACAGGTGGGAATTCTGAGGCAAAGAGATGTTAAGACACTTGGACAAGGTTGGATACTCTTCATTGTTACCATTACATTCACTGAACTCACTGGCACAAAGCATTACATTGGAAACTTAATCAAACAGGTTCTGTCTCCTACACTGGTGGAATATTAAGTGCACAGAAGGAAAAAAATTAAATTGGAGATTTAAGAACACATACATCATGGGTTTTTAAAAACCTGTAATAAAACATTTTCAAAATTTACTCATCTAATTTCCCAACTCTTACAGTGTACTTAAAGGTGAAAAGACAAAAAGGAGGAGTTTAGATTTAAATGTATAAAGACTGCAAAGGAGGTAAACCAGATGATCTTTTAAAACACCTTTCACTTTAACCGTCTATGTATGTCTATGAGTTAATAAGGTTGACATTCATAGAAGTGATTTCCAGGATCAGAATAATTGGGAGTGAAATCCAAAATATTCCATATTTACACTGCCTTTCCTCACAGTTAATATTCTGTGTTCTCTGTCCCCTACTAAGCGCTACCCAAAGAAATCCTCCAAGGGGCAGCTGAATGGCACACGGGATAGAGCACGAGCCCTGGAGTCAGGAGGACCTGAGTTCAAATCAGACCTCAGACCAAACACTTGACACTTACTAGCTGTGTGACCCTGGGCAAGTCACTTAACCCCAACTGCCTTTAAAAAAAAAAAAGAAAGAAAGAAATAAGAAATCCTCCTTATCTTTCTTTCAAGACCTACTTCAAATGTCACGAAACCTTCTCTGATCACCCACTCTCATCCCAATAAAAAATTACCTTTTCTTCCTTGGACAGCTTAGACCTCCCACAACACTTCATCTAACACACACACACCCCTATGTGTGTGTACACACACACACACACACACACACACACACACACACACACACACACACACACACACGTATGGGGGAAGGGAGAGCAGAGGCAGAGAGTAGTTTGAACCTCTAATTTCATCAGTATAAAGACTTTCTGGTTTGGAAACTCCTTCCACCTGTGCATACCAGCCACTGATTCATAACTGACTGTCTTGGAAAACTGCCTAGAGCACTGAGAAGTGACTTGACCACAGTCACAAAGTTTTTATGAATTACAGGCAAGACATGGTCACTGCAACATGCTGCCTCTCCTTAAGACATTCTCTTTTGTATTAGGGTTATTCATAAACATAGTATTATTGGTGTAATACATCATAAGCTCCATAAGGACAGGAAATTGTTTCATGTAACTGCTGTATCTGGAGCAGACACCTACTCCAGTGTTTGCACACACATTGTAAAACACTTAACAAATGTTTAGGGAACTTCACCACATCTCACATTTCAGTGTTTATTGAATGAATCCTAATTTAGAAAGTCACATCAACTCAATAATCTGTGACTGGTTATTTCAGCTGATTACTGGGAAGTAAATGAAGCCTAGGTCATGAATTCTGTGTGTGGGCCAGTTACCCTAGCTCCATTCATGAAAACAAATTGCACCTCTAAACCTGGTCATTCATTCAACAAATACTGATTGCCTATGTGCTGAGCTGAAGGGATACAAAAGGCACAATCTACCCTTAAGGAGTTTGTAATATTAGTCCTTAAAATGCAACAGAAGGATTCTGCTTGCATATGCTCAACTCTGAAGCCAATGCCATGAAGTTTGAAGAACATTCTGATTGAAGCATACAAATCTACAAATAAAAGTTTGTATGTAAGCTTACAAAAATCTGTGTTTAATTATTTATAATTAAGCAATTAAGATGACCAGTCCAATCTACAATAAATGCTTTAGTGAAAAATCCTTATTTCTAGAGTGGTAGGTCAGTTACCAAACTGAATTTACTCATAAAGTGCTCATAACTGACACATCAGTTAATAGTGACCCATTCCCACTAAAATCTGAAGTTTTTTCACATAAGAAAATGCTTTAAAAAGGTACTTTTAGAAATAACGACTCCAAACACATTATCACATTTTTGTAATGTGTTATCTTCAGGGTTAGAAGATCAAATGAAAAACTGAAGATATAAAGTTAGCATGATTTGGCAAGTGGACATAGTAGGAAGAATACTGGCTCTGTAGTCAGAGAAACTGGGTTCAGATCCCACCTTTGAAACTGAGGGTGTGTGTGTGTGTTTGTGTGTGTGTAAGTTTCCTCATTTGTAAAATAAGGGGGCAACCCTAGGTGGCCTGAGATCCCTAACCAGCTCTAAATTTCTGATCCTATGAAGTCTCAAAGGTACACAAAACTTCAAAAAATCTAAGAACATCCTTTTTTTCTTCACCTCTTCTAAACAAAGAGTCAGCATAAAGTTACATGCTTTACAATACAAGAAAGGAAACTGATCAAATAAAGGCTAGGCCAAGTTACCCCTTAAAAGAGCCCACACCGTAGACGGATTTTCAGTTTTAGGACATCTGTTCTCTGACATCAAAAGAACGTGCTAAATGACACTAAAACCAACACAAGTCATCTCAGGGGCTGTGGGGGCCATAAATCATAAATGAGTTAAGACTTACATGAAACTCCCCACTTTAGAGACCATAAAGCTCTATGAGAGCAAGGATCCTTTTTTCACCTTAATTTTTTTTATATCACCCAGCCCAACAGGGTTTCTCACCACCTAATCAATCAACAAGCTTTTGTTAAGAGCCTACCTACCATGTGACAAGCATTAGGGACTGAAGAGCATTTTGTCAAATGGCTACTATGTGTGAAGCACTACAGATAGGTGACATAAATCAAACTATGGCTACCTTCAAGAAGCTTATGTTCTAAACAAGAAAAGATATACATAAGATAAAAAACATATATACAGTATACAAAGTAATTCCGAAGTGGGGCATTAGCAGCTGGAGGGGGAAGGGTGATAAGAAAAGGCCTCAAGTAAGAGGAGGCACTGGCAGAGCAGAAGTGAATCGACAGTGGGTTAAAGCCTGGGGGGTAGTGGGTGGGGAAAAGAGGATGGCCGGTGCAAAGGCAGAGGCTGGAGTCCCGTACAGTGTCCACTCACTGGCTAAATGTTTGTTGAATGAATGCTCTTAGGTCAAGTTCTTAATCTTTGGGTGTGTGTCCTGTACCCTCCCCCACCTCTTTTGAGAGTTTGGTAAAGCCAAAGGACCTCTTCCCCAAATAATGCTCTTAAATGGGTAATATAAAAAAAACAAAGGAAACCACTGATCCTTCACGATGATTATTTAATTTTTTAAAAAACCAAGCCTCGACCCAAGTTACGCGGGGTCCGCTCCTCGAAGCCGGGGAGCCGAGGCTCGCAGAGAAAGGGGGCGGGATCCCCGAGCGATACGTGGCGGGACCGAAGGACTGAAACCTGATGCAAGAACCAAAGGTCCAGAGGAGGCAGGGAGGGAGCAGGGAAGGCAGCACTGACAGTGGGCCCGGGCTGGGGAGCAGAGCGGAGGAGCGGGGGGACACGGGGGGAGGGGAGGGAGAGGCGAGGTCAGACGGCCCCCCCGGACGCCCCCCATGTCCCCCCCCCGCTCAGGGGCTTCCCCTCCGTCAGCCGAACAGCGCCCCGGGAGGAGGGATCTAGGGAAGGAGCCCCCCACCCCCGACCCGAACTCACTCCCCGCGTGGGCCCAGAAGGGCACGGTCCCGTCGCTCTGCACCAGATGCGGCCCCTTGAAGCTGTACTTGTACTCGAACCGGCGATGGGGCGGCGAGGCCGGGGTGGCGACGGCGGCCCCGCCACGGTCCCCGCCCGCTTCTTGGGCGCTGGAGAAAATGCTCAGAGATAGCAGCAGCGCGCAGAGAAGCGGCCCGGCCCCAGCTCGGGGACCCCTGCTCCTGGACCCCGCCATCTTGGATTGTGGGACAAGGCAGCCCGCCGGCGGAGGGTACGAAACACAGAGCGAACAGCCAACAGGGCGCTCGGTGATTGGCGGAGCGGGGAAAGCCACGCCCCCGGCACCGCCCCCTTTCCGGGCAGCCGCGTGGCTGGGGCAGCGGGGGCGGGGCAGCCTACGGGGGCGGGGCCACGAGGGGCGGGGCCAGGAGAGCGCGCTGCCCCATCCTTTGTGGCCTCCTGACTTGAACTTGTGCCCTGCTTACCTGATAAGAAGGGGAAAAGTTTACACACGCGCACACGCACTACACACACACACTCATCACACACACACACGAAAACTGAAAATAACAAACTCCTCACCTACATTCTTTCCTCTTCATCAGGCAATTCAAGATGGCAAAAGAACTTCCTACTTAAAACTCCTACAATTAGTGGTAGAATATAAATTCCTTGAAGGAAGGGACATGGTAGGGAATTTTTTAAAAATTAAATTTTGGGTGATTAAGAAGCATTTATTTTTCTTTCTCCCTCCCCCCATTAAACAAAAAGAAAAAGAAAACCCTTATAACAAATACGCGTGGGGTGGGAGGTAGGGGACATGCCCATGTCGGCAACATCCAAAAATTTATGTCTTATTCTGAATTTTAAGTCTATGATAACATATTTTATCTTTCTGTCTCCAGTAACCGTGGATTTTCACTACATCGATCAAGATTATTTTTCTATATAAGATTATTATTGTAAATTGTTCTAGTTCTATTAACTTCACTCAGTTCGTAGAGGTCTTCCAAGTTTCTTCTGAAATTCACATTTTATCATTTTTATGGCACAATCATACTCCATTATATTCATACACTAGTCAGACAATAAATATTTATTAAGTGCGTACTATGTGCCAGGCACTATGTTCTATTGCTTTCCCTTTGTTGATTATTTCCACTTTATCCTACATATACTTTGCTTGAACAGTTATTTGCATGTTGTCCCCTTCTAGGTGATCCTTGAGAGTAGGGACTGTCTTTTACCATTCTTTATATTCCCCAATGCTCAACACAGTGCTTAGCACGTGATAATTGTTTAATAAACATTTATTGACTGCTTGACTACTTAACCCTTGGGATACAAAGAAATATAAAAGACAGTCCCATGCTCTAAAGGAACTCACAGCCTATCATAATTTGTTTAGCCATTCCCCAGCAGATGGACACTCCCTCAGTTTCCAGGTTTTTGCTAATGGTAGAATGTGCGCTAATTGATTGATTACTGGGAAGAATGGCACTGCCTTTGTGAAGGTGACAATTGTAAGATGTCTAGTTTTTATGAAGGATTATTATTAAAAGATTGCTATGTCAGAAACAAAAATATAAATCTAGTTACATGATAAATAATAATAGCACACATTAAGGTTTACAATATTAACACTATAAGAGACTATCAAAGGTTCTTCTGAGCATAGTTAGAGCATCTAAAATTGGGGCTGGGAGAAATAGAGGGGTAATCCTATTACCCTCATCATGTTCTCAATGGAAGTGGAATGAACAGTTCTATGAACAGATAAGTCAGATTTTACCTCCTGGGGCTATATTTCTCCTTTCTCAGCATCTAAGATCTGCACAGATGTCAAGAAGGCACCAAACTGAAATAAAAGCAGCGGACCCTGTGAAAGGAGATTCTATTTATTTTATTTCAGTTTTTAGGTAGTCTTTTTTATTATTATTACTGTTGTTGTTGAGGAGGAAGGAAGGAGAGTATATGAAAGGCATTACGCAGTTGGGGGAGAAATATCTCCTCTTTGACAATATGTTCCATTGAATAAATAGGACTATGGGTTTTAAAAAATAGTGAAAACCTAGCTCACTTCCTCAGAAAAAACTCATATATCAATATTCCCAGGGTTGACCATGTTGTATGGATTGTAAACTATTTCACAGTATTGCTTTTCTGAAACATGTTTTATTTTGAATAAAAATCTCCTTGAAGATTTTAAAATGGTTCAATGTTTTTCTGTCCACAATAGTTTGTACCATTTGCCATATTAAGCTGGGCTAGGGGAATCAATAATGGGACTGATGACCTCAGGGATAGAGCTTTTTAATTTTACTTTTGCTGACCTCCCAATCTGTAGTCTTCAAGTGCTTCAAACTTATTGCATACTATGGCTAATTTCCTTAAACACCGTTTCAACATGGCATTTGACTACATATTCAAAGCTCCTTGTGTCACAATGCAAATCAAATAGGTTGGAACAGCATTTTAGGGCAGGGCACAGAGTTTTAAATTTAGAGCAGTGCTTCTTAAACTGTGGGTTGCAACCTCATATGGGGTTGTGAAAAATTTGGCAATAGCAAAAGGTTTCTGAACACGAAATGACCAAAATTAATTAAAAATTAAACACATAATGAATCTGAGGTGTTTCTGGTAGCACTTGCCAGTATTGCATCAAGCAACTTCACTGCAGCCTTGGTTCTGAACACACAGTATTCGCACTTTGCACTGTGCTTGCCCTCAGATCATACAATGGTAACCAACTGCTGAAACTGAAAAGGAGTCATGAGTAGAAAAAATTAAAGAAACTCTGACCTAGAGCACGTGGGTGGGAATCTGAGGCCCCTGATAATCAGGTTTTGCTACTTATTGCCTTTGGGGGGCCTAGGTCAAGCCATGTCAACTTTCTGGACCTCCATTTCCTCCTCTGAAAAATGGGGAGCTTGGATTAAATGGTTTCTAAGACCCTTTTGTATTTGAATGCTGTGATCCTAAATGTAGCCATGCCACAGTATTCTGAACTGGGCCTATAATAGTATATGGGAAATTGCTTTGCAAAATATGAATCAGTCAATCAACAAACATTTATTCTGTCTATTCTGTGTGCTTGCTTAGGCAGTACATTTACTAAAATTGGAACAATCCAGAAGATTAGCATGGCCCTATGCAAGGATGACATATAAATTAGTGAAGTGATTCATATTTTTCATTAAAAATTCAAAGAACCTATTTTGTGTTTGGCGTTCATGATACAAGACAAAAATGAAAAATAGTCCCTGATCTTAAGGACCTTCCATTCACTTGAGAATATGGCCTTACATATATGCATATAACAAAATAGAGAAACAAGGCAACTTTTTTTAAAGGAGGGGAAGGGTGTTAGCAGGTGAAAGGGACTGGGAAAGGTGTCATTTAGGTGTTGCTTGAGCTAAGCCTTGAAGGAAACTAGAATTTTAAGAAGTGAAAGAACAGGGGCAGCTGGGTGGCGCAGTGGATAGACCACTGGCCCTAGATTCAGGAGGACCTGAGTTCAAATCCAGCCTCAGACACATAACACTTATTAGCTGTGTGGCTCTGGGCAAGTCACTTAACCCCATTGCCTAGCCAAATATATAAAAAAAAAAAAGAAAGAAGGGATACATTTTCCGCATGTGTTATATAAGTTATCTATAAACATTTATTTGGCACTTACTATGTCTAAATCACTGCTTTAGGCTCAAGGAGTACAAAGAAATGTGAGACATAGCCTTCAAGAGCTTACAATTGATTGAGGAGGCAAGTAAAAACAATGAAGAGTAGCAGATGCTAAATAACAAATGAATAGTACAGACAGAAGTTAAGACATCCCCCTAACTAACCTATGGGTTTCAGGCCTGTCGGTTACTCTCAACCTGGATTAGCCTGTCCACTGAAACAGTTTTACTGGAATGTACAATGCATGTGCTCCAGCTTCTTGGAGCCACAGGTAAGAGTTGGGTGACAGGTAGACACCAAAGGTGGATGCATAGCCCTGAAAAGGAGTCAGCAAGCCTTCACACCAGCGGTGCTGGCCCTCCTTGAACAGCTCATATGCCCCCAAGTTGTGGTAAAGAAGAGGGGAGCTTAGAACATAATATTCCAGCACTCAAAAGATAAAATCTTACCAACAAGAATAACTTATCTAGCAAAACTAAGTATAAAATGATAGGGTAAAAATTAATCTTTAATTAAATAGTAGATTTCCAAGTAATGATGAAAGGGCAAAAAATAAGTAGACATTTTGAAACATAGAAGGATAAATAAATCTTTTCAACTAGAAGGGAAAACATGGGGATGAATTGTTTACATGCTAACAGAGGAATAAGAAACAAATATTTTCTCAGAACCATGACAGAAGGCCTTTGAATGGTTTTGTTCTGTTTTGATGGTCTTAGGAGAAGACAAAAATAGTAACATCATGCAAATTTAGGGGAGAATTTGAATGATGGCATACAGTGACGCCAGGGTGGTTAGAATGATTCATTGGTATTCACAACCATGTACAGTAGAGGAGGGTGTGGATAGATGTGGTCAAGGATAGAGTCTCATGTGAACTGTCTTGCCCTCACCCTCCCTTGGGGTAGCATTCTATATGGCGACCTGGATAAGTGGTGGGATGTACTCTCTGATGGAAGTACCGGAGTCTGTGGGCATCCATGCTTGCAAAGAGTTTTCAGACAAATTCTACTGTAGTAGCCATCTTGTCACTGGTAGAATGATAGGGTCAGGAAGCATGGAACAGTAGCAAAAGAGGAGGTTTCTAAAAACTGACCATTTAAAAATGTTTTTAAATTAACCTACTCAGGATGAGGAAGGTAGAATTATAACTATGCCATATTAGCAAGCTTTCTGGAGAGTTTCAGGAGCCTATTCCAACCAAAACTGGATGCAGTTTAAGCCTTTAGCATACCATAATTGTGTAATGGAGACAATCCTAGGAGTAAGATAAGATCCTCTGGTTATTCATGGAGACAAGAAATTATACTATAGAAGAGGAGGAAGGGGAGAGAGGTCACTATTATATAAAAGAGATGCTATGATGAATAGTTTTTAAATATGGAAAAAGGGAGGGATTGATGGCCATCTCATGAACCTCACTTTTCATTTGAACTGGATAAAGGAAGATTGGACACAATTTTACACTGTGCATGTGCATGTGTGCACCCGTGTGCGCATGCGCACACACACACACTCACACACACACACACACACACACACACACACACACACACACAGATTTCAGTATAGAAATTTATTAAACCCAAAAAGGAAATAGGAG